TACCTTTGCTGTTGCTTTTTCTTTTATTTCTTTTATAGTCTATAACTATACAATGCTGTATATATGTATTCATATAAAGGATCTCTTCCTCCTTGTAGGTAAAGGCGGCTGTCCTGCTGGGAGTGGTGTGTGGAGCTGTGGCTGATGGAAGCTATGCTTCCCGCGGTGGAAGCTTTGGAGGTGGACCTGTTGGAGGCGGCATCTCTGGAGGAGGAGTAGGAGGTTTCGTTGGAGGAGGCAACTTCATTGGAGGAGGAGGAGGTGGTGTTGGGGAGGCAGCTTCATCGGAGGAGGCGGAGGCCTTGGCGGCATCGGTGGAGTCGGCGGCGGCAGAGTTGACGCAGGACACCTCGTTGGACACGGTGTCCTCCCTGCTGGCGGCGGCTACTCCGGAGGTGCTGTCGGAGGTGGAGGCGCTGGAGGTTTCATCGGAGGTGGCAGCGCAGTAGGAGGCTCCTTCGGAGGTGGAAGCTCTTTCGGAGGAATCAGCTCAGGAGGAGGCTCTTTCGGAGGCTCCGGTGTGGGAGGTTCCTTCGGAGGCCCCATTGGAGGCGTGTCTTCCGGACGCGTTAGTGGAGGATACGGCCGATAACCACACGCATTGAAATGGGGATAGGAATAACACATTAACGAATAAATATGGTCTATGATTTCTCATGTATCATTCACTATATATCCTATCATTACTGAGTCTGGATATATATATATATATATATATATATATATATATATATATATATATATATATATAATATGTATATATATATATTATAATATATATATATATATTATATATATATAATATATTATATATATATATATATATATATATATATATATATTTCATCTATTACTTTATGTATAAAGTCGAGTGGAAATCAGTATTCCCAATTCTTAGGTATTTATTTTGAGTATTAGGTCTCTTAAGAACGACCTAATTAACGCAGATTAGTATTTTTTAATTTACAGTTTGAGTACATCCATGAAACATATTGCAATGTATTCCTTAGGTCATCCTAAATCCAGATCAGTCATTCTTAAGTATCCATTTCATGTATTAACCCACTTAAGAAAGCAAAATGAAACTCATTGACCTCGTCCCTGGCAAGGTGAGTGTTAATTCACAATCTGAATACATCTTTCAAATTGGTCTCAAACTGTTCAATAGATCATCGTGAATCAAGAACAGCAATTCATAAGTGTTCGTTTTCATGCTTCAACCCACTTAAGAATGCAGTCAGTGTCTATAGGCAGTCGTCGCGTTTATCATAGGACTTATGAGGAATCCGCAGCCCTTTCCCTCCATTGATTCTCAGCATAAGTTGCAGAAGTTGCCTGATGTTGTTTGCAATGCATATAAATTTGTATCATTTTCATGTTCCATTTAAGATCAATGCTTGAATCAAACATGACAAAGGTAAGTCAACATTATAGACCTTATATATATATATATATATATATATAGATATATATATATATATATATATATAATATATATATATGAAAAAATACATTTATATATGTATATATATATATATATATAATATATATATATATATATATATATATATATATATATATATAATATATATATGTATATATATATATATATATATATATATATATATATATATATATATATATATATATATATAATATATATATATATATATATGTATATATATATAATATATAATGCATATATAATGAAATATATATATATATATATATATATATATATATATATATATATATATATATATATATATATATATATATATCTAAGTATATATATATATATATATATAATATATATATATATATATATATATATATATGCAATATATATATATATATATATATTATACATATATAATATATATAATATATATATATAATATATATATAATGTATATATATAATATAATATATATATATATCATATATATATATATATATTATATATATAATATATACATATATATGCATATATATAAATGTATTTTTCATATATATATATATATATATATATATATATATATATATATATACATATATATATATATATATATATATTATACATATATACATATATAATATATACTATATCTATATCTATATCTATCTATCTAGTCTATATACATATATATATATATATATATATATATATACAAATATATGCAACAGGAACAAAAAAGGGAATGACTAGAAAACACACGAATATGCCGAAGGCCTTTTCGCTAATGCTTCGCCAGGGCATACATATGTATGTATGCCCTGACGAAGCATTGGCGAAAAGACCTTCGGCATATTCGTGTGTTTTCTTATCCTTCCTTTCGGTGTTCCTGTTGCAATCTGTTCGTCATGGATTCCGCATATACAAATATATATACGTACCACTACGCAGAAAAATGTTGTTAGAAAATTATGCTAAACATTCTGACGAAAGTAATGATACTTTTTCATTATAATTGTAAACGCTCGTAAACTGTTGGCATCC